AATGTGATGATTAGTACTTGAGATATCAGTGGAAAAACCGAAAATTGACTAATCATTATGCAAATTAGGTAATTAGTATCCACGGATTATTACCAAAAACTAATCAAAACCTAGCATTAGTTCAGAGCATCTATGTACCACGTTTCATCAAAATCCAATGAGTGGTTGTTTAGATATCAGTGGAACAGTCATGGAACCACTAAAAAATAGCTAATTATCATGCAAATTAGGTAATTAATATGCACGGATTTTTACCAAAAATTAATCAAATCTGCGCATATGTTCAGAGCATCTATGTACCAAGTTTCATCAAAATCCAATGAGTGGTTCTTTAGATATCAGTGGAACAGTCATAGAACAGCTAAAAATTAGCTAATTATCATGCAAATTAGGTAATTAACGAGCATGGATTTTTACCAAAACCTAATCAAATCTGCGCATTGGCCCAGAGCATCTATGCACCAAGTTTCATCAAAAACCGATGTATGGTTCTTGAGATAGCAGTGGAACAGTCGGACACACATACACACATACACACACACATACACACATACACACATACAGACACACTAACTGCAAAGACTCCCATTTTGTGCTTCGCACATGGGAGTCAAAAATACCTCTGTAATTAATGTATGCACATTTACTACTAACAGAGCAATTACAGTATTGTCTGCTTACAGCGTCCATAGCACCAAGATTTTTCCAGACCTTTTCCTAAACTTTCTTGCATTTTTCCCAAGACATTTTAACCTTTAATTCAGGCCAACATCATCATCAAAGCTCATCAAAGTTCTAAGGATATGGTAGTTCCCTGGAGAAAATGCGACTTTCTAAAATTAATTAATAACTATATGAAGAAATTTAAAGACTTTTCAAAGATTTTTTATTTTTCCTGTAATTTAAAGACAACTCAAAGACTTTCCAGACCTGAAAATATCCAAAGACTTTCAAAACATTTTCCCAATGCTATGGACCCTGTGCTTAGCTCACAATTAAATGTCTAACTGTAAAAGACATTATTAGAACAAGTGTTTGTATGCAAATACACAGTAGATAATATTTTACCAAACAAATATGCAAATTAGATGTTCAATGCTATTTTTGATTGGTGGAAACATTTACATGAAACCATATAAGGATAAC